AACCTCTCACAGTTACTCTCACAACAACCCCTTACAACAACCTTCACAACAACCCTCTCACAGCAACTCTCACAACAACCCTCACAGTAACTCTCACAGCAAACTTCCCTTCACAACAACCTTCACAACCTTCTCTCACAGCAACCCCTTACACCAACCCTCACAGCAACCCTTCACAGCAACTCATCACAAGCAACCTTCACAGCAACCTTCACAGCAACCCTCCTCACAACCCTCACAGCAACTCTCACAGCAGCCCCTTACAACAACCTTTACAACAAACCTCACAACAACCCTCACAGCAACCTTCACAGCAACCCCTCACAACAACCCTCACAGCAACCCCTCACAGAAACCCTCACAGTAACCTTCACAGCAACCCCTCACAGCAACACCTCGCAGCAACCTTCACAGCAACACCTCACAGCAACCCTCACAGCAACCCCTCACAGCAACCTTCACAGCAACAGCTCACAACAACCTTCACAGCAACCTTCACAGCAACCCCTCACAACAACCCTTACAGCAACTCTCACAACAACCTTCACAGCAACCCCTGACAGCAACCCCTCACAGCAACCCCTCACAGTAACCCTCACAGCAACCCCTCAAAGTAACTCTCACAACCCTTACAGCAACTCTCACAGCAACCCTAACAGTAACCCCTCACAGCAACCCCCACAGTAACCTTCACAACAACCCCTCACAGCAACCCTCACAGCAACCTTCACAGCAACCCCTCACAGCAACCCTCACAGCAACCTTCACAGCAACCCCTCACAGCAACTCTCACAACAACCCTCACAGCAACCCTCTCACAGCAACTCCCTCAAAATAACTCTCACAGTAACCTCACAACCCTAACAGCAACCTCACAGCAACCCTCACAGCAACCCCTCACAGCAACCCTCACAGTAACCTTCACAGCAACCCCTCACAATAACCCTCACAGCAACCTTCACACCAACCCTCACAGCAACCCTCACAGCAACAACCCTCACAGCAACCCTCACAGCAACCCCTCACAGCAACCCCTCACAGCAACCCCTCACAGCAACCCCTCACAGCAACCCTCACAACAACCCAGCAACTCCCAACAGCAACCCCCCTCACAGCAGCCCCTCACAGCAACCCTGACAGCAGCCCCTCACAGCAACCTTCACAGCAACCCCTTATAAGCAACCCTCACAGCAACCCTCACAGCAACCCCTCACAGCAACCCTCACAGCAACCTTCACAGCAACCCCTCACAGCAACCCTCACAGCAACCTTCACAGCAACCCCTCACAACAACCCCTTACAGCAACCTTAACAGCAACCCTCACAGCAACCCCTCACAGCAACCCCTTAACAGCAACCCCTCACAGCAACCCTCACAGCAACCCTCACAGTAACCCTCACAGCAACCCTCACAGCAACCCCTCACAGCAACCCTGACAGCAACCCCTCACAGCAACCTTCACAGCAACCCCTCACAACAACCCTCACAGCAACCCTCACAGCAACCCCTCACAACAACCCTCACAGTAACCTTCACAGCAACCCCTCACAACAACCCTCACAGCAACCTTCACAGCAACCCTCACAACAACCCTTACAGCAACCTTCACAGCAACCCCTCACAGCAACCCTCACAGCAACCCTCACAGCAACCTTCACAGCAACCCCTCACAGCAACTCTCACAACATCCCTTACAGCAACCCTCACAGCAACCCTCACAACAACCCCTCACAGCAACCCTCACAGCAACTGTGAGAGGTTGCTGTAAAGGCTACTGTGAGTTGCTGTGAGGGGTTGCTGTGAGAGTTGCTGTAAAGGTTACTGTCAGAGTTGCTGTGATGGGTTACTTTGAGGGTTACTATGAATGTTGCTGTGAGGGTTGCTGTGAGGGTTGCTGTGAGAGTTGCTGTAAAGTTACTGTGAGCTGTTACTGTGAGGGTTGCTGCTGTGAGGGTTGCTGTGAGGGTTGCTACTGGTTGTTGCTGTTGAGAGTTGCTGTCACAGGGGTTACTGTGAGAGTTACTGTGAGGGTTGCTGTGGGTTACTCTCACAACAACCCTCACAGTTACTCTCACAGCAACCCCTCACAGTAACTCTCACAACAACCCTCACAGTAACCTTTACAGCAACTCTCACAGCAACCCTCACAGCAACCCCTCACAGCAACCCTCACAGCAACATTCATAGTAACCCTCAAAGTAACCCATCACAGTAAACCTCACAGTAACCCTGATAGTACCGTCGAACTTAACTTTACAGTAGTTTTACTCTCTAGACAGAAAAGAAACCTTGTTAATATGACATTGTCTAATGAAGCTCATTCACTGTGGTGTATATTATTTTGATGTAATCTCTAAACAAACAGATATAGAACAGTTTGGGTTACCTTTTCACATCGGAGACTCGTACTTGCATGTACTTGCATTGCGTGATCAGTTCTCGTGTCTGTCATTGACAGTCACGTGACATTCGATGCTGTGATGTTGAAATCAACTGCAATGACATAACCAGTGTACTGATGATGTCACGCGGAGCTCGAGAAATCAAATAAGCGGTCACTTATTACACATCTATGTCCATATTGTCATACACGTACTCGTTTCCCGAGAAACGAAGCCAAACGCCATCTTATTCAACAAGCTCATTAAATATAGAACGCACCATGCATCAGTATTTTAATATTAATTACTAAAGTAACTCTGTTACAATATTTACATTGTATTTATATGTCACATAGTAACACACAGCTCTGTATGAGTGCACCGGTACCAAGGACAAGTATTTAGGTCAAGGTCAGTTTAATATCACCCATGTTAGGGTTGTTCATTTGTGGCGGTCAGTTATTACTTGAGAACCAAAAATAATGTTTGAATTTAATATATTTACTTTTGCTGTAAAGCTTTTAGGATGAAAATAGGGTTAACATGATTATTAGTTTCAAAATGAAGAGATTGTGTGCTTTCAAATGTTTGAACTGAACGGAATCCCCACCTGAAGTTTGCCCACACACCGTACGTGCAGGCTTCAGACATGGAACTGAATGAAATCTCCACCTGAAGTTTGCCCACACACCGTACGTCCAGGCCTCAGACATGGAACTGAATGGAATCTCCACCTGAAGTTTGCCCACACACCGTACGTCCAGGCCTCAGACATGGAACTGAATGGATTCTGTGCTGCCAATACACCGCCTACCACCTGGCGTTAATGTGCGGGATGTCATACAACAACAGCTGACACTATTACGTCTGAGGAACCAGCCTACAATCATGAACGATCGGGATTAATAATGATAGCTCCTCTCTGTATTACACACGAGTCATTGCATGAACGAACGTCATGTTGGATATAAAAAGAAATAAACTAATATAACAGTTTGAAATCGGTCGCATTTCATATCTCTCAGCTAAGTTTCCTCAGTGTCCCAAAGGCATCCGTCACAGTCAGCACAAAGAGACAACAGAATATGTTTTCTTAAAATAATGATGAAAGACGATGATACGTCCTTGTGCTTGCTCCTTGAAATTGTACCTGATCGATGTAAAGAAGTATAACGTCTATCTGTCCACATATCCATCCATCCATCCATCCATCCATCCATCAATCTATGTGTCTGTAACAGACAACGGAGACACACCAATGCTACGTCAAGCTAGGCAACGGTGTGAGAACCTATACCAAAACGTCGCTCCTAAACGAATAGAAGGATTTGTTCGTCCATATTTATTATCCTTACTCTAAAACGTTCAGTTGAAAAATGATTTAATTTACAAGACGTTTGGTTGTAAATCAACATTGCATAAGACGATGCATAGAAAGTGATGCCAAACTGGCTTCCTGTTGGTTGGTTGTATACACCAGATGACGCAGCTGTGTGTTGACACCTGTAATCATGTTACCAAGACACATGTTCAGTGTTTCGTACGACCATCCATGTTTGATCTCAACATTCGTGTGTGGGCGTTGAGGCCGTGCATGGGCGTCAAGGACAACGTGAAGGGCAACCATGTGATGATACATGTAGCTGTCACTTGGTTAAAGTCACCACAGTTTCTATTATATCTATAACACGTAAACAACAGGACGAGCGTGCATGTGCGCGTGAGTTGGTGTGAGCGTTAGAGCGCACATTTTCACCATCGCAATTCTTTGAACCCGGTTCTTGCTAAGGCGTTAAGCTCAACGCAACCAATCACCCCAACACGAAGATAGTGCGCATAGGCATCTCGAGGCACGTAGATGTCACATCATCTGCGTCCGTCAGACTGTGACTAAATGAAATGAAACTTAAGTCTACCGGGACATGTCCTTAATGCTCTGTTCCTGTGCGCAGATCTGTATCAAGGAGGGAAAACACACTAATAAACCAGGGACAGTAGCTCAACCGACATTCGCATTCGATTAACCTCTCTGAAGAATTGACTTTGATTTGTGTAATTTCATTCGCGTAAATTCGTTTTGACATGTGAGACGTTTTAAATAAGCGTTCCTTCTGTAGTCGGTTGGCAATATTATCAATTATTAAGTTCTCAGTAACTACGAGAGCTAACAGCAATACGGTGTTCTTAGTTTCATTTAGCTGTTGCTGCGTTATTCAGGGCGTCGTGAAGCATCAGTTCCTTCAAGGTGTATCAATAGACCTGTAATGAGGACGTTTCTATAGCAATTAGACTTTGTAGTAAAAAACTCCTATCTTGAATGTATCTTATGATGGACCCAATCCTTTTTGCATAAACACTGCCTTAATGAGCTGGATTCTTCCACACAAATACCCATGACTACTGACTACACAAATGTAATCACAACGAGTTGGTTGGTATTTACATGGGGGTATCTGTAGTAACAGACGGTGCCCGACGACCACGTTGCCGCATACCGCTGCTCCAGTTTCACACATCAAGTTGATATTTAGCATCTGTTCCCGTTTATCGTCCACGATCTGCTTATAGAGGTATTGATTTCTCGTCACTGTTTCTGGTTAGTGGTTATCAACATCAGACATGCATTTCATATAGTTGAAACTGCATCATCTAACCAACCCTCGTGATTTATTGGAAAGCTACAGGGTGTTTAGTGAGGACGGCTGATATGGAGGATACAACGAGGTTTCTGTACAACACTTTGATTTCACTGGTAACGCTTCTTGCTCAAGGTGAGTGTATTCTGTTATTGAACTGGCTTCATGTCTAGTGCAGGAGCACCATCTTCAACTGACTTTGATAGATAGTTTACGTGAACGTCTATGGTCAGGAGGCAAGTTAAACATTGCTGTATAACAATAACCCTATATATGTGACATCAAGGCGCTCAGTCTTTGACGGAGAACGACCAACTGTCTCTGATCTGTATAACCCCTCATACTCAGAGGGAAAAGGTGGGAAATTATTACTTGTATTTCTGAATCTTCCAATAAACTTTACAATGCACGACAGTTTTGTTTAACGTCTTTAAGACTTGTCTTGCTGTATTAAAGCAAATTGTTGTTGATAACAGTCACGTAAACACACTCCAGAAGATGAAAACAAAAGATCGTTATACAATAAATGTTTTGACACCACACAATCAGGGTAATTTAAACCACCCGTTTCCTAACCTCTGTCATTTTACTGCGCTATTACATGAGATCAAGGGACCGCCTCCATGGTGTAGTGGTTAGAGCGTCCATCCGGGAGAGCGGAAGGTCGCGGGTTCGATCCCCGACGCGTCATACCAAAAGACGTTAAAATATGGTACTTGTTGGTCCCTGCCTGGCGCTCGGCATTAATGGGTACAACAAGGACTAGTCGGCTCGGAGTCAGTATAATGTGTCTGAGTGGGGTATTCATGCTTCACTGCGGCATGGTACCTCAGTGAGCTAGCACTATAAAACCAGCTTAAGTCTGGGCTAGTACAAGCAGCCCCACATACACATACACACGCATATGAGCGAAATATTCTCAAGCGCAACGTTAAACCCAGTTTCACCTCACCTCACCATGAGATCAAGCGCTATTGTACACGGTTAGTTATATATATGTATAACTGCTAGCTATTGATGTACTGGTGTTGGTCAGTGTGATCCCTATATGCATGTGGTCACTTTCCCCCCTACCAGGTGCGGCAGGAGTGACCTGTTACAACCGGGCAGGTTCTGTCACATGTCCTGTCAAGTGCTGTCCAGGCTCTGCCGCAGTGTCCTCTATACTGGGCGTGTGCTGCAGTAGTACCGGCGGCAACATACTCCACACAGCGGACAACATAGCAGGGGCAGTCAGGTAATTCAACTACCGGGACGGTGAAACCAGTCCACTTAATTATACGTCGGTAATACGTACATAAACAGCAACGAAAACAATTCCATATTACGGGAAACATCTTTTAAAAGCAAAAGCCATTGCACTTTTTCAACGACACCATCAGCTCAAAAGGTGCTGATATCAGATGTTTGTGGCAAATCGATGACACAGATCATAAACACATGCAAAGGCACGTTAGCGTTATCAGCTAAAAAGAGGGTAACATGTAGTGCAAGTCAAACAAGATAATCGCATCGCACATCTTTATTGTGACTGTTGTCACCATATGTTTACCAGAAAACCCTTGGAAAATTGAATTGATGTATTTGACAAGCCATAATCATTTCTCAATGACGTAACATATCACCCAGTCAAACACCAGGACACTGTCCCTCACGATCAACTGACACTGCTCTGGGGCAAGAGCCTATTTACTGTGGGTGTCATTCGATAGACCCCTACCCAACAAGAATGTCAACCGAAGTCACCTTTTCCGTCATGTTTGTGTCAGGCATATTCATTTTTTTTAAATAATATTTTTAAAAATCCTTTAGATGAGATATTTTAAATTTGGGATTCTTTTGCGTTCTTTCTTACCCTATCGAGAAATTTATAAGTTTTCTTTCAGAAGCAGATGTCAATATTTGGTGATTGATATGATGCTTTTACTTTTACCTTTGTGTCTGTGCAAAACAGAAAAATACCATTAACTTAACTGGCTATAGTCACGTCATCTTGAGAAAGGCGATACCCAGTAAGGAAGGTACATATGTCCAGGTTCGTACTCCTAAGTAAGCAATGTTTTTCAATGTTTCCATCCATTAAACACCCGTCAAGCTGAAACAAGTGGCAGGACACTGAGTTCCAAAATCCTGATGATGCTGTTTTATTTACAGTAAAGGATTAAGCACCATCATCATTATCATAATCGTCGTAGCCGTCATCATCGTCCTGGGTATTGTCGGGTGCATCGTATGCTGTGTCTGTGGCTGTAACAAGCGGACCAACGGTGCAGTGGTGGCCCCTGCCAGTGGTCAGCCTCAAGTGACCGTTGTGTCTACCTCGGGTAAGGATCATAGCTAAATGTTTAATATGCAATTCAGAAACCATTGTCTCAATGTAGAACGACGATAAAAGTGTTTAAAAAAATAATGCCGGAAATGCTTGGAAAATGGTTTTTGGCTTCAATATCAATATGATGAATTTGGCACAAGATAAAAGCACATATATGATACATGTACGACTCTACCTAGTTGGATATTAAAGCTGAGATGAATAAATGCACTTGAGGGGTTTGACGTTTTAACAACATTCGTAAATATTACAAACCGTAGTTTTGAAATACAGACTATAAATTATTCATATATCCTCAACTAATTCAATTACATAAATGATTGAAAAAGTTTTGTTCTTTTAAACATCTATTTGTGAAAAAGATGGAACTCTTGTAGCAGGTATATTCAAACCAATTACGTAAAAAAGTCTTAATTCAAATCGCATAGATAATCTTTTTTACCCATAGAAGTTTCACTTCGTGTATGAGCACTGAACTGGCAACATGCGACTTGATATCTCTGCAGAACAATAAATTTCAAATTTATACCAGTATTTCATACTGGTGAAACAAAGGGGAACCTCTCGTCCGCTATGACAGGGTTTACTATAGAATGTGTAAAGCCCTTAATTTGACATATAGTCAGGTGTACAAAGTTGTAAACAAATCAGTTACCGCAGGGGTCTTGTCTAAGTCAAAACCAGGTAGGAAACACAAACTGGATAGTTTTGATAACTGTGTCAGTTTACAAACTGTATGAACACAAAATCCCACCGACGTGTGCTAAAATACAAGTTGAGATCAAAGATACAATAAATGTCTCGAAAACCACACTTATTGTAGCTCTGGTAGAAATGGGGTTCAGGTACACCAAAAGGGGAGATGACAGAGCTGTGTTTAGAGAAAAGGACTCAATCCTGTCCATGCGATCAGCTTATCTCAGAACTGTTGAAGAATACCGCAATTTGGGGTTTCAAATTATATACCTTGATGAAATCTGGTGTAGCAAAAATCACTCAACCGATCGGATGTGGCTTCCTTTAGATTGTTCTAAGGCACCAGTGTTACCATCAGGCAAAGGTAGACGCCTGATCATCTTGCATGCTGGTACCCGTAGCAAGGGACTGATTGGGGGTTGTGACTTTGTTTTTGAGGTCAAGAAATCTGATGGTGATTACCATAGCGAAATGAATGGGCAGGTAGTTTTGGATTGGTTTTTACCGCAGCTGGACGAACCAAGCGTTATCAATTTGGATAACATGCGTGTCCCTGGTACCATCACACCCACCATGAGCAATCTCAAGGCTCAGTTGCAGGATTTTTTCACTTCCTGTAACGTGCCTTACAGGCAATCAGAAACAAAGCCTCAGCTCATTGAAAAAATCCGGCATCCAATCCAGTACATCACTGATGAACTAGCTGCAAAACAAGGCCACATAGTTGTGCGTGCACCAGTACGTCACTGTGAGCTCAATCCCATCGAGCTGATCTGGGGTAACTGTAAGAATTTAATTGCTCGCAATAATACCACATTCAAGCTTTCAGACATGAACGCTGTCACCCTGTCTGCCTGCCAGGTGGGTCACAGTATTGTTTGTTTCTTAGAAGTGTTTCTACCATGGAATATTTTCTAGGTTTTTCGATGTTTTACGAGTAATCATTATAATTAGGGAATGGTACATCGTGATCACTCATATGCCATATTAGGTCGAGGTGTTATGAATGAATATATATGAGTTTTGAATCTGAAATATCAACCTTTATCAAATAATTGCCAAAAAGCATTTATCAAGCATTTCTGGCCTTATAATACGTCTTTTTTTCTTATACTATTAACTCAGTCAGTTCATGCATTTGTCTTCAGTACCATTATCATTAAAGTTCTGAATATGGTATCTTCAGTAATGACGCAATGTAGATAATGAGTGAGTAAGTGGACCTAACGCAGCTCTTAACAGTAAGTTATATCACATTGTGTCAGGAGGAAAGGCATATCAGTTGGATGTAGGATGAAAGCTCGAACTACTGCAGATCTCACACGTTTACCCTTAAGGTGACACCAGCGACCACGGGCGTGATGATGACAAACCTGTACAACATATTCAGGGAAGCGGGACTCGATCTCACTGTCATATGTTTCTTATGTGCCCAACGGACGTGTAGATAATGATGTGCTGTAAGGTAATGTATATCAACGGACAGGGTTTCCTTATCGTAATATCATTCATTAAAGACACAACATGTGCGTCCCTGGGGAGACAATATGCTGCCGTTATACCCCTGGTGTATGATATTTACATACGGAAACATGATGGCGTTGCATATTGTGTAGATAGTTGACCCCGTGTGCTGATGTTTGAGGAAAGGATACTGTAGTAGTTATTCTCGAAAAAATCCATTTTTAACAGTGACGTATTTCCCTCAATGAAGCAGCTTTGGAAGCAACTGTATAATGCGTCCATCCCCGTGAGCCATGACGATCCTAGAGTAAACCGTCCCGTTTATTGCCAGACGATTCGATGCCATGCTTGCACACAGACGGAAAAACACCAAGGCATCGAGTAACGCCATTCTAAACCTACCGAGAGCGTTATGCAATACTTTAGTGGGTAGGAACACATTACGTCCATCCACAGTAGGTCATCTACTCTTGTAGCTGATCATGATACTCACTACGGGACGAGTTAACAAGCTAATCTGCATATCATGTGATCAAACGTTAGTCTTCTTTGTCAACAAACGCGTTAGCAGATCAGTGGATAAAAATGGAAGTTTAGTCACAAGTACAGATAGTTGTTAATTGTTTGTATTGTTGTTTATTAACAATTAACAAAATGGCGTCAGATAGATGCCTAACGACATGGCTTTAGAAAGAAGCATGACAATATGGAGTTAGAGAAGCGCAGCTTGACAACATCGCGTCAGAGATTATCATAACTACATGGCGCCACAATACTCCTCCTACTCCTCCTATGCTCCTCGGGGCGGTGGGGTAGCCTAGTGGTTAAAGCGTTGGCTCGTCACGCCGAAGACCCGGGTTCGAATCCCCACATGGGTACAATGTGTGAAGCCCATTTCTGGTGTCCCCCGCCGTGATGTTGCTTGAATATTGCTAAAAGCGGCGTAAAACCAAACTCAGTCAGTCAGTCCTATGCTCCTCAATGAAAGTTAACTATGTCATGGAAATTCAATATAAGCACTTTGAGGAAATTGTAGATGTGAAATGAGAGCTGTTGAATGTTCTATGTAAGATGTGACAAAGGAAGATGCTACAATAGAGGGCACATAGGAGTATGAAGAGATGGCTCTGCCATAACGGTTTTACTGAAAATAAATCATCTGTGTCAGTAGCATCAGAATATGTTGTGAGGTTCATTTGATGTCAAAACTGTTTCAGCATAAAAACATTTTTTATAAATATAAAATGAGGGCATCTATATGTGGTTGTGTATATATAAGTAGAGCAGGTCAATACCAATATACGTGCAGCAAATCACGTTATAAAGCCATGATATACTGGCGTTGGCGTTGTGCCACCGATGATGAAGGATAAGGTCATGTTTTAACACGTGGGGTATCACTACTTTATAATGACTCACGAACACATATTTATGATATATACAAATGTAAACGTTGGGAGTAGAGAGTATCTACAACTGGGAGACAAGTTGGCCTAATTTTTCTGTTATGGCTATCAAACGCGAGTACTTTGTAAATATTCGTGATACTTTTCATTGACAGCCCCTGCCACTCAAGTACACCCAGGCCAGGAACAAGGCCCACCTTGACCAAGAATCTTTGCCAAGCACTGTGATTAACGTTCACAGCCAGTTTCTACACCTTCTGACTTTGTGCTGTGTGTGCAATCAAGGCGGGACCCAACTCCGGCATGCCTGTGTCTCACTCAACTGTGGAAGTACTTCCTTCAACTATTTGTTTGTTGATTCTGTTGATTTAGATTATTCCAACGCTCTGTGTTTACATAAATGAAGCAGTGATACACACAATATAGACGTTTTCAGAAATAAGCCTGGGGGTGGCTGGTATATCCCTTCACACCTCCAACTCCAAACTTACACAATACACACATCTGTCAACGTATCACGACTATATTTATGCACTTTATTTTTTGTTGTACCCCAAAAATGTGATTCGAATAATAGTTCGATTTCTATTTAAACTCTCGTGCAAAGGACACTGTGTACCCATACTGTAACCGTGTCAACCCTGAAACAAACAAGTCGGGTGTGTTCAAGGATGACGTATCCCATATGAGTGGGACACAAGTGCGTGGACCTTAAGATACAGCGTTTCGGGGCATTTGGATAAGGTTTGAAATTGTATGGTCGGTTTGCACGTGTATGCTTTCCTTGGCACAGTGGTTTCTATGTTCAAAAGGTGACGGGCTTCTATCTTCAGCAAATGTTTATCTGGTCAGTGGCTGGGTCGGATGTTTTCACGACATTATTTATCCGTTACGCAAAACGAAACATATACTCGTGGAAACGAATAAGGGAACACATGAAAGTACAAGTGTTCCTATATTCTTTTCCAGGTTTTAGTCGGCATCGTTCAGCAGAGATTTTGTATGAAAAGGAAACATTTCTGTAGTGGCCACATAGGCCACATGCCTGTGATATGGGCGCCTGTATGATACTACCCCTTTGTCAGTTCAATCATGTACATATGTGCCTTTGTACATTCATTGCACATTCAAAAAAAATAACATAAAGGATCGAGTGAATGATGAGTGGCAGTCTTTACAGCTTTTATTAAATAAATATATGTAAAATACTGTCAGTAACATCTTGTATGTGTGATTCCTAGTTACTCAGTTTTAAAACCCGAAGACGACACATTCCAATCCCTGTTCCAATCTTCTGTATTCGCCCTGTACTTTTACACGACACAACATATGTCTCTTTTAGCAAATTTGGAAGTTTTCAAACGAGTTATGGCGTGAAACACGGGGACAGTCGTTGGTGTTCCTCGAAGGTTCGGTCTGTTCTCCAACAATCAACTTACACGCTTTATATAACTGAAACACCATTCAAAGCAGTATTCACACGAACAGAATTACAATCCATTACTGAAGCGTGGCCATGTGTGTAAAATCACACACATTTAACATTCAATGGTATTTGTTAAATATTGTTTAAAGAAAGTCAAAATTAAATTTCACGTGTGATAACTGATATGTGGAGCATCAACATGGTGTGAGTGAGTGAGTGAGTATGGTTTTACGCCGCTTTTAGCAATATTCCAGCAAAATCACGGCGGGGGACATCAGAAATGGACTTCACAAATTGAACCCAGGTGGGGATTCGAACCCGGGTCTTCGGCGGTAACCTCTAGGCTATGTGATCCTGAAGTACAGACACTGCAACAATTAGTACATCTCTTTCAGGCTGAGTCAGCAAATATTCCCCCATGAGATCCCTTCCCGCATCGGCATGGGGTACCAAGCAGTACTCGATCCTGCATGAAATATTGGGCTCTCTCGACTTTATTGTCAGTATAACGAGTCCACAAATGTCTGGTAGGGAATAACACATCATTCATCGAGTTTGAATTGCCAAGTGTAATGGGTAATGGGTATTTCCTGTATGCAACAGGATTCCCAGTACGTATTTAGCACTGATCATTATTGTACTGTAAATAGAGAATACTACACGAGGTCTCATTACATACGAATTATACGAAACGAGTGTCCTTGCTATGGTATCTGACCGAGCGAAAGCTAGGTCAGATAACATAGGAAGGTCACGAGTTTCGTATAATTCGTATGTAATGAGACCGAGTGTGGTATTTTATTTATTACCCACGTCTTACATGCATTTAAATTGACAAAATAGCGTATTTTTGTTATGTTTTTGGTTTCAAACCGAAACCGGTTTCATAAAGAGGTTGCGGAAGAGTTTTGTACTGTAGTACAATATTTGCATGACGTCACACTAATGACGTCACTGCCATGGTAGCCGACGTCACGATGCATGTCAGCTGTCATCGCCTCGTACAGCCTCCTACAGTAAACTACTCCGTTGCACCTCGTTTCTTGGTTTCCAGTTGCTTCATTCGGCTAATATCACTGGTGGAAACATTGCGTTTATGTTTTTCGACGTATATAATGTCTCAGTTCGACTCACAATTAAACAGCGACACGGCAACGTTCGCAATGTTTACATTCCCACAATGCATTTAAGTTGTAGAATGAATGAATTCACGTGTTTGTTATGAATGAAAAAATAGTTACGTCAGAATGTGACCTAATTGAGAGGTCATCGGTTATCCAATCAAATCGTTAGAATTTCAGGTCAAGTCGTTACGACACAGGTCAACGCGACACGACACTCGTGTGACGTACGAGATTAATATGCAACTACCCATACGTTGACCACGTGGGTAATAAAACATCTTATCTCATATACTGTGACTTTGCCCACACTATGCGCTTCTGAACGTTCAATTATGAAACGTTAGAAAAGCGACAAAATACATTTCCATTAACTATAAAAAAAACTGTCTGACGCAGGCACTGGCACTGTTTTGATTGCTGTGACAATATAGCGTTTTTAAGGTTGATGTAATATTGGACAGTAATCATTGTTGCATGAGTGAATGTGGTTGCATTGTGAGCTGCTAGACACAGGCTCTATAATCAAATCTTCCTGTATCCAGAAAGTGATTTGTGTGCCCACGTGAAATCCGCAGTAGTACGGATTTCGATCATGCCTGGTGCTCTGAGTTCGAACAAATTGCCTGAAATAAAACACTTATCGTCACAAGAACGTTTGAATTCTCTGCTGTACACAACTTTTTCAGATGATATAATAATGAATGGTTGTATTGACTGAAACGCTGTTGTCCTAACGTCGTTACTTTATATCCTACTGCTGAGTACAGTATACGCTGGGGAAGTACCATGCAGGAGTGTTGGCGGTCCAACCTACACACCAGCTGGAGATGGTGATAGACAAAACCCTGTCCACATCCTCGCCGACTTGTCTGCAGGTGGTCTCAGGGATGTGATGGTGATAGAAGCGACAACACCATGTCCACATCCTCGCCGACTTGTCTGCAGGTGGACTCAGGGATGTGATGGTGGTAGTGTTGAGGATAACAACCGCCGTTTAGAACAATACGCCATTTCTCCCAAAGGAGGAGGCAGTTTACATGAAGCTGATAAAACACAGGCTATGAACGAAATCCGTAAGCAGGGTCACAAACACAAACAACAATTTGTACATATACTTCAGTCCGAACACACACACACAAACACACACATCTATATACACACACACGCGCACACACACATCTACAAATATACGCACAAACACACATCTACACACAAACACACATATCTACACACACATCTACACATGCAAACGTATCTACACACACGTCTGCACACACACATCTGCACAAAAACACACATATCTACACACACATCTACACAAAAACACACACACATACAAACAAACAAACACACGACACTCTATTCACACCATGCTCCTGTGGGGTATAGTAAATTAAACTTTATTGTAACTTCTAAGATGCCTAGCGGTTAGAACAATCGAAAAAAGCACATTATCAGACAATAAAGGTATAGTTTTTTGATGACGTAACAATTGAATGACGTTATCCCGTCACTGCGCCATTCTAGTGTGCCCCCTCGTAATCGAACCATTTTACATTACGTCACAATGTAATACCCCCTTCACACAATGAAAATTCCTGGAGATTCCTGGAAATTCGAACTGCATTCTAAAACTTCTTAGTCCATTCCAAATGCACTCCAACTATTCGTGTCAATTCTTGTAACATGCCCGAATGTTTTGAACATGTTCAAAACTTTCGAGGTACATTCGAAGTGGAAAAATATCGAACAGCATTCTAAGTGCATTCTAACTGCATTCTAAGAATTCTTACTGCATTCTAACTGCATTCTAACTATTCTGAACGTATTCGAAGGAGAATTGAAAAGGCAAGCCATTTCAAATCCTGCAAGAATGTCACGAATGCGTCTCGAATGTACTTCGATTTCTTGTGGAAGTTAGGTGGAATTTTCTTCAAACGTATCGGAATATTTCGATTGCGCTTGGAATACAGCTCGAATGTACATCGAATACACCTCCAATACAGTCAGAAAGTCCCGAATGCTCTTCAAATGAGCCCTGACGTCACCAGAACACCACCGAATCGCATATAAACGTAGCCATCTGTCAATGAAACTTCAGATATCATTCACATCTTCAAACTGCGCAAGTTGTCTCCAGCCTCCTGGCACCACGTTGTGCTGCTCATCTTCCTCATCCACCATACCATTGTGGAGATTAGGATAACGATTCCTCATCAAGTTGTGCAGGCAGACACAGCATTCAATGATGTCCTTCACAACGGAAGGTATTGGCAGCATGGTGTTGAGGAGGATTTGCCAACTCTGGGCCATGATTCCAAATGCATTTTCCACTACCCGTCGGCCCCTGCTGATGCCGTAGTTGTAGATTCTCTCGTCTCTCTGGAGAGTCCTATGACCATACGGTTTCATCAAGAAGGCCCTTATTCCAAAGGCATCATCTGCCAGAATAAAGCATGGCATACGCTCGTCATCTTGGGGTAAGGGGAACGGATCATGAAATCATTATGCTTCCGTCTTCAAGACAATCCTTGAGCTCACACTCGTTGAAGATCTGAGCATCAGACATACTTCCGTCAGCACCAACGTCCACCCACAGGAACTTGTGATTTCCATCCACAAGGGTCGTTTGAACCACAGAGAAGAATCACTTGTAGTCGTGGTACAATGAGCCACTCTTGGCGGGTTTCCCGATGGCCACATGTTTGCCATCTAAAGCTCCCACGGCATGAGGAAAATTCCGCCTGTTTCTGAATACCTCTTCAATGGGTGCCCATTCTTCTGGAGTGGTAGTACAGATGATAACTCATCCTTGTATTCCTCCACAATGACCTTATATACTTCTGGGATGATGAGACTGATTGTGTTCCTTGCCACGCGGAAGCTGTACATGATGCTGGGGTACCTATGACCTGAAGCCAGGAACCTCAATGTGATGGCGAGCTTCAAGTCTGGAGGTAGCGCCTTTCTCACATATGTATCCTGCTTCTGTGTTTTTGGCTCCACTCTCTGCACCAACTCATCAAACATGGCAGGCTCCATCCTGAGGTAGTTGAAGAATGACTGCGTGTCCTGAACTCTGAGCTCCTCCATCAGTATTGTGTAATGTCTATACAGCCTCCTCCTTCCCTCGCTCAGCCATGGTCTGGTCTGTAATCTCCTGTTTCTTCTTCTGGTCTTCTCCACATCACGTTCAATCAGGGCTTGCTGGGGGACAGCAACCTGGAGCAACGCAACATGGTCCAAGTGGTCCATAATCTATGGGAGTGGAGCAGTGACTGATGAATAGTCCAGATTCAACAGGTTTTTATACCCCATCGTGGAACATTCCGGCAGCATTTGATGCATTTCGGACATTCGTTTTACATTCTAAGTGCATTTGAAGGACATTTGAAATATTCGAGCTGCATTCTGTTTTAATTCTTTAACATTCGATCCATATTCGGGAGTCATTCCAAAAGGGTTCTGAATGCATTCTATGTATATTCGTACAGCATTCGAGGTACTTTCCAACTGAAATTCGAGTGCTATTCACGCAGCAATCGAACCGGCCTCGTACCACAGTCGAAATTCATTTTAAGTATTCTTAGTGTATTCTAACGGCATTCTAATTATCCCTACTGTATTCAGATTCATTCGAGCTGCATTCGTGATCTAGTACATTTGGAATGAGTAAGAATCATTCGAGGCGGGTTCAAAGTGCGTTCTAAGTATTCCAACAGCATTCTTATAAAGCTTGAGAAAAATTGTATATTTTGACATTCTCTCCCGAATACGGTTCGAATTTTGGGAAAACAAAATTTCTGGCTGATTCTCCTTGATTCCTGTCAATTCGAAATAAGTGTGAAGGACCCTTAAGCGACGTCACGATGCATGTCAGTTGTCATCGCCTCGTAAGGCCTCCTACAGTAAACTACTCCGTTGCATCCCGTTTCTTGGTTTGCAGTGGCTTCACGTAGCTAACGTCACTGGTGGAAAAATTACGTTTATGTTTTACGACGGTTAAAATGTGTCAATTCGACTCACAAGTTTTCAGCGACACGGTAACGTTCGCAATGTTTACATTCCCACAATGCAATCGTAGAACGTCGCTTGACTACTCAGCTTCATCTGGCTGTACTGATCTAAACTTACGTTGGTAGTAGAAATACGACGTTCATATTGTACCATATGGTTTACGTTAATGACAGATGTAATTAGAATAATTCAGCGCGCCAGTTAGCCCTGTGCGAGGATTCTTAATTTAGGTCACCGACACCGTCGCTTGTTTTCTGCCTTAAACTAATCGTAATTATCCTTAGAAAGTATTAAATTTGGCATCTTAGAAAAGAAATACAGTTCGCTCTACCACCATGTATAGTGTAATAAAGCACACTTTCGCCCGTAATTATTATAACGTTAACGCACTCGGACGCAAGCGTCCTCGTACTTTAACTATAATATTTCAGGGCGAAAGTGTGCTTTATTGCACTATGCATGGTGGTAGAGCGAACTGCATTTCTTAATTACTGTTAAGGATATCCCTACACACGCATCTACACACAAACACAGATCTACACACACCACTAAACACACACACATCTACACACAAACACACACACGACACATCTACACACACGCATTCTTACTCCACACATTGCGTACACCTTTTGAAAGTTTCGCGTATATGTTTTGCTCAGTCGTTAGTGAAACGAAGCCTACCTTACTGTCTCCCTCAAAGGGTCTTCCGTAACTAATGGAAATTTATGTAAACAATACAACAGCGATAGTGTTGATCATGTGTAATAGTACAGCGAATGTTGACAGTAAGTGGTACCTAATGGATGCCATTACCCAATACATCATTCATTTTGGGTGGTAACTGAAAGGTCTAAGTATGATGAAGTGCCCTGACGGGTGTAGCATATTCAATGCATGTAAATTCAAAATTCAACATCTTCACATGTCAGACGTGAGACACCTTCCCACTTTAACACGATGAATAATGTATACACACGTTCAATAACTCGATAAATCCATTAATCTCTCTGACACTCAAACTTGTGCAAAGGTGAAGGTCTAAGAACTTGTGAATCGTTTTAAGGCAAAGAGGCGGGCATGCACACTCGATGTGCCTCTGCAGCAATGGCAGGTCGTGTATCCGTACTGCTTTTCAGTTTTTCGTTCATCTTAGGATTGAACAGTCAACCAATCCAGGATTTCCAGGATTACCAAACTCGTATGTATGCTGAAGATGGTTGCGGTCCAAATGAGTATGCCATGTTTTGTCTACAATCTGGCTACGATCTCACAGTTGCTCAACCGCTGAATGATTATGTTTCCAACATCAGAATGAAGGAAATGTATGACTTTTTGACACGATCAAAGTGTCACAAGCACATTGAACCTTTCGTATGTGTTGCCTTGTTTCCAAAATGCAGCGAAAGTCCGTTTGAGCTCATGTATCCTTGTAAGGGCCTGTGCGAAGATGTTCAAGAAAGATGTAATCCCGTTCTTCAACGATACCAAATTCCGTGGCCTCGGGAGTTAAATTGTTCTCAGTTTCGTGACAGGGGTTGTCTCAACCCTGAAACATCTGTGGAAAAACGTACAGAGATAGTAGACGTTGACGCCCCGGAAGGAAGGCACAGCCACAGGCTGGATCGACAACCTAAGAAGAAGCCCAGACGAGAAAACAAGAAGCATAGCCAGCCGAAGCGGAAGTCACCAAACAGTCATGTGGAGCGGGAAGATAAAGTGATCCAAAGTGAAGTCCAGGGGACGAATTCGAAGACCATGAAGATGAAGACGTTCTTGAAGCTGTTCAAGAAGACGCTGGACAAAGTTTCTACCAGTCTAAAACGCTCTCTGATGGGATTTGATGTGGGTGGACTCTCCCAATGGCTTCTCATATGATGTGATCATGCTTCGTAAGTGCATTACACATGCTGTAACTGTAGTATGTTGTACAAAGATGAGTATATCAATGTATGAAGTAGGGGAAAGTCTTAGCCTGTGTATCACAAATCTCATGTAATTATTAATCCTATGATTTTAGCAATTTGTTCAACAATTATTTACCAGCATATGAACTAATTAGAACATCACTAATGAGTCATCAAAGGTGTAAGAGAATGAACTCCCTGCTGAAAGTACTATGTTGTCCCGTTAAGCAGGATTGAATCTATGTCCCCTTCATACTGACTTATAAAGGAAGTACAGACACGCTCAAACATATTTTATTGTTTCTGTAAATATTTAGGTCATAAAGGTCTAAATCAGACTTTTATCTCGGTATTGAGTCTATCTGATTCACATGTATTCATTGTTTGTACGCTGACCACTTTGAACCACACGTTTGTCAATACAATCCACTTGACATTCCTCGTCTCGTGTTCCTAACTTAAGCCATTTCTGGTTGCCACCGATCGGCGAGTTAACTGAATATATATTTGTACTTAATAAAGTTACAGAACATGATGACTGTAGACTTCCAATTGTCTGTGTTCTGGCTTGTTTTACTGAAACAAACCAAATGCACGCAGAGTCTACAAAGCACCAACCGTCTCATTACAGCAGAGAAAGACTTGGGCGTATCTGAGCTATGCACTACCTAACGCCAGGGAGTTATGGGTGTCTTGATCTAAGTAGGGTACTCGCCTAGGCTTTTGTCACTTTCCAGGCGTGTTCAGGAATGATTACACAATGCCATTTAGAAAGTGGTCAAATGTAACATATACTTTTATTGGGTTGAGTCCCATCCGGGATTCGAACCACACCCTCAGAGTCAGGCACCTAATCGCCAGCACACAAAGACACTTTGAGCGTGTCACATGGGACTCAACCGAACAAAAGTACTAGAATCTGTACTTTACTAAGAAAGCGTATCCCATCTATAACATATGAGCTACGGGTTCAGGAATATATAAAATACCTACCAGCAGCTACCTGTCTTATGAAGCGACTTAATTAATCGAGCGGCCATCTGCATTGTTGATTATCTCGAAATGCTGATGATATCAATCACGGGTTTAACTGGTCAAGCTCGGTTATGTACATCTGCCTGATGGTGGTGTTCAAACATACAATCAGTGAACCCTTGAAGAACCAAGTTGTGCGCTGGACAACCCCGCCCACTACGAGTATATAACGTCTGATTGTATCCACCTGTACAAATTAGTTATTCCGATTATCGCGAACACGAACCTGTAGGAGGAGGATACATCAGGCTGATGTTGTTTTAACAAGATGTCGGACTTTCCCATATGTGATTCGATAATTATGAGGGAGTACAAAATCATACAAACATATGGAGACTTATTGAGGCTGATCAACCAACATGTGCACAAATTTATTGCCTTTGCTTGAATAAGTGTGGGGATTATTAGAGTTTCGAATCGTGGGACAGCGCTCACGTAATTCACCTCAGTACTGCATCACTCCTGCCCAAACGTGATTACACACAGACATAGAAAAGCAAAATTCAAAGTACTTAAAATATTACCAGCTCGAGTACCATACCTTCTGGATTATACAAAGGAAGGCTATAGACAGGTCGACAGCCGAAAACTGTCACTTCCTTGCATCTGACTTCACCAGTGAACACGACATTCTACCCGTTCCCTTAAAGCCTGGTTTCATCAATATAGAGGATACCACTGCTTCACTGGTTGACAGAATCTGACGTACATGCTCTGGTAAATGTTCGCAAATTCCTATATTTCTGTTCTCCAGAACGGATTTCACTTTAGACTCATTTTCGTCACGACTGAGTGTCCCGGTGATGAATGCAGTTTATACTTGTTTGTCCTTAAAACTGAACCAATTTTGTGTTATCACTTGTGGTATGTTGTTTTTCACACTTTACTTAATGCAAGTCTTGGTTTATTGAGTAGATCCAACACCAACATCAGATATTGACATAGCCTGCTCCATGTCGTCAACTGTCCCCGCGGTAAGTGATGCGACTGTAAAATGTGTCACATGCTCACGACAAACGCGTTCACCACATCTCCCAGTCCATGTCACACCTTGTATCTCATTCTTGAACTCATTTACTCTCGTTTATACAATCAACAGAGTGGAACTAAGTGATACTGATAGATTCTTCGGAATGAAAGGTTGACGACGTTCCTGTCTTGCTATTCTGTATGATCACTTCAGTATGTACACAAGTAATGTATAATGGCTGCTACGCATCATCAGAAACATCCTTTGCCTTTTGGGGCACACGGGATCTGCATAACTCAATACAATAATGTGTTGAAAAGCGTAAAAGTTAGCTGTTTAAAAGAAGTGTGTTTCTGTCCCTTCGTTGTCTGACGTGAACACACTACGGTCGCATACAAGATGCACCGAAGTGCGATTTAAAGAAAGGAACACATACCTTATGTGTAACTTGTGTGACTGGCGTGTGCTACCAGTAGGAGTGGACCTGTTTACACTTTTCCAAACAAACTGGTGCCATTACAGATATTCTTTGATTTGTTATTATAATTTTCACCAGTAATATATTTTATGCGCCCCGAGAAACCTGTTTGATCCAATGATGGAGACTGGTGATATTTTGGTGAAGATTTATATTTGATACACCTGTTGTCTTAGGGAAAGCTAAATACACTTTGAGGAAAGGCACAGCATGCCTCCCTTAGCGCTGGTAAAGGACTAGTTCTTTGTTAGATATCGTAACAATCAGTCGTTTACACCAAGTATTGCTAGTCCGTACCTGTACACGCAGTCTCAGTTTTCTGTTACACCAAGTATTGCCAGTCCGTACCTGTACACGCAGTCTCAGTTTCTGTTACACCAAGTATTGCTAGTCCGTACCTGTACACGCAGTCTCAGTTTCTGTTACACCAAGTATTGCTAATCCGTACCTGTACACGCAGTCTCAGTTTTCTGTTACACCAAGTATTGCTAGTCCGTACCTGTACACGCAGTCTCAGTTTTCTGTTACACCAAGTATTGCTAGTCTGTACCTGTACACTCAGTCTCAGTTTTCTGTTACACCAAGTATTGCTAGTCCGTACCTGTACACGCAGTCTCAGTTTTCTGTTACATATTCTGTCGGAACTGGTTATGGAATCGATATGAATCGATCTACGAAAATCAGTGATGTCACCAGGTTTACCTCGGAGAACCCTGCAGATAGCACCAGCCGCCCAGAAAAAGTCTGTTTGTCTGTTGCCCCTGCCATAGGACGCCAACCTGTATTCAATATCATCGTGACCAGACAATCCAATGATGGACCAGACAATCCAGTGAGACGATAGTGCATTAACTTTAGGCTCGGTACAATTTGCTAGAGTGGGAAGGTTTATTATATAGCTATATGACATCAAATAGTTTCTCAGGATTTCTTATATAACGTCAAGAGGGTCTCTTATGATTAGTCATATAGCATCAAGCACTATGCCTGATTAATTTTGATTGAAACTGAATCCTGTTCCATTAACCGACCTTTATTGTGGATGCAGACGGCAGATTTAATGTAGAATGTCAGTGCAAAAACGCCTATTCTTGACTATCTTCAGAAACAAACTCAAGTATAGAGACATAAGGCACTCAAGTGGCACCACACAGCACCAGAATTGTCATCTTTAAGATTATCTTTTACTTAAAAATTACTGTGTTTTCTGTATATATTACTCCGAAGTTCATACTATTGGCTATATATGTGTCTTCTGTATATATTTACATTATATTGGCTATATATGTGTTTTCTGTATATATGTACATTATATTGGCTATATATGTGTTTTGTGTATATATTTACTTTATATTGGCTATATATGTGTTTTGTGTATATATGTACATTATATTGGCTATATATGTGTTTTCTGTATATATTTACATTATATTGGCTATATATGTGTTTTGTGTATATATGTACATTATATTGGCTATATATGTGTTTTGTGTATATATGTACATTATATTGGCTATATATGTGTTTTGTGTATATATGTACATTATATTGGCTATATATGTGTTTTGTGTATATATGTACATTATATTGGCTATATATGTGTTTTGTGTATATATGTACATTATATTGGCTATATATGTGTTTTGTGTATATATGTACATTATATTGGCTATATATGTGTTTTGTGTATATATGTACATTATATTGGCTATATATGTGTTTTGTATATATGCACATTATATTGGCTATATATGTGTTTTGTATATATTTACATTATATTGACTATATATGTGTTTTGTGTATATATGTACATTATATTGGCTATATATGTGTTTTGTGTATATATGTACATTATATTGGCTATATATGTGTTTTGTGTATATATGTACATTATATTGGCTATATATGTGTTTTGTATATATATATGCTATATATGTGTTTTGTGTATATATGTGTATATTATATATATGTATATATGTACATTATATTGGCTATATATGTGTTTTGTGTATATATGTACATTATATTGGCTATATATGTGTTTTGTGTATATATGTACATTATATTGGCTATATATGTGTTTTGTGTATATATGTACATTATATTGGCTATATATGTGTTTTGTGTATATATGTACATTATATTGGCTATATATGTGTTTTGTGTATATATGTACATTATATTGGCTATATCTATATGTGTGTTTTGTGTATATATGTACATTATATTGGCTATATATGTGTTTTCTGTATATATGTACATTATATTGGCTATATATGTGTTTTGTGTATATATGTACATTATATTGGCTATATATGTGTTTTCTGTATATATGTACATTATATTGGCTATATATAGGGTAATATTTCCCATAACGCTTACAAATACAGTGTGCAAATACTTGTCTAACTTGTTGTACCCATGTAGCTTCCCTGCATGGGTCGGGGTAAATTATGTCGTCACTGGAGACTTGCTTCAGGAATGAGATGATGGTATCCTCGACGCTCCTCCAGGGATACAACACCAGGAATGCGATTGATTTTTCTTTACAACTGATGGACTTTTAGCCATTGTGTGTCGTTTTCTATGCATATATTTAGGAACAGATGACAGATTACCATACATGTATATTGATATGAGTATTCACAATACACATAGTATGTAGGACCGTAGTTATAGTATGACCAGAAATTATTGAGATTTTTAGGAATATGTTTAATTGGATTTCTAGTATAAACAATTTTCAGTGATCCTCAGTATGGATGATTTAGAGAAGAGGAAGTTGATTTTAGAATATTATAACAAGGACATCAGATCAGCTAAAGTGATTTCAAGTAGAACAGGCATCCCTTTGTCCACTGTTTATCGTGTTTTGAAAAATATTGCAAATGGATATGTCATTGAGCACCTGGGAGGCGCAGGTAGGCCCAGAAAATTGACTGTCGGTGACAGGAGGCGGCTACTTTCTAATTTCTTTGATCAGTAGTATGCCCCGCCGCATTGAAGCCTGCATTGCTGCCCATGGTGACTTGATAAAATACTAACTGTTC